AATAAAAAGTTTATTTACTTAAATAAAATAATGTTTGCACGTTTCAATATTAAGACGGATTTTTCAAATTTTGCTCATTTTTATGAATAAAATAATAAATTAACATATTCCACTATTATTACATTAAAATAATTACATTAAAAATTAAAAATTACTCTCGCGGTTGCGCACCCTACTCTGTGTTAGACTTTGTAAAATAACAATAAACCATTTATGTTTATTAAGTTTTAACAAAGAGATAGTGGAAATTATTTCAAAAAAAACTGTAATGAATAGTTCATTTATCATAATGTACCATAAATAAAAAGTTTTGAAAGTGTATTTTTTGGATTTCAATTATCTCATAGATTTTATTTATCAAAAAAACGATATGTGTTGAAGTTTTTACCTTTGCAAGAACTTCAACTTTTTCAGCCGTAGTCTCTGTTTTCAACTCGACTAAATGAGTAAGTTGTTTATATCTCTGGTCTGCAACACAAATGCTGTATTTTGGACACTACGCCATCTTTCTTGAGATAACACCATTGTATCGAATAACATGTGGTGACAACACTGCAACACATCGACCATATGGAAGACGGAAAGCGGCTCCTATTTTGTGAACCATTGAGTGAACAACCCCAAGGAAAAAGCTATGCCACCAATAGTAGCTGCATTGTGCATCTTCTCTCTGGCAACAAAACCCCGTTGAATGACTCGAAATAGTCGTCGAAGACTAATTTGACTACTTTTTTAGCAAGACCATCTGTGCACTCATTTGCCATAACCGAGACATAAGCTACAACAACACAGACTAAAACATTGATACCACAGTCTGCTATAGATGTTTTTGATAATGAGACACAGAACATCGGGTCGATAATAGCAACTGATGGAGTCAATGAATAATCTTCAAGTGGACACTTCTTGCCAGTCTCTGTGTTTTTGATGACAGCAAGTGGAGTGACTTCAGACGCCATGCCAGTTGTCAAAGATCTCATGAAACAAATTTATGCAAAGTACAAGAATAATGGCAAAAGTGAACACTGAAGAATTCAAGTTTGGTAAGACCAAGATTTTCTTCAAGGTTGGTGTTCTTGCTGAGATTGAAGAGAGAAGAAGAGTCGATGAGGAACTCGCAGCTAAGTACAAAGAAATTGAAGCCCTCAAGAAGAAACTTGCTGAAGAAATTGCAAAATGAGAAGAGAGAAGCCGCTGAGAAAGCACTTTCTGAGATGAAAATCAAGAAAGTCGACTTGGAAACTTTAGTTTGAAACTTAAAGAAGACATCGAGTCAAAGAAAATAGCACTTGATGAGGCTGAAGTCACAAGAAGACAAAGAACACATTTAAGAACTCCAAGGCGATATTAAGAGAGGAAAGGAAGACTTGAACAAGTTAACCACTGAGTACAAGTAACTTGAAGCTGATAACCAAGGACTTCAAGATGAAATTACTGAACACAAAGCGACTGTTGCCAAGAAGGATAGTGTCATCACTGAGTAGAACAAAGACATTGAAGATAAGGAAGGCGAAATTTCCGACTTGAAGAAAAAGCTTGAAGCCGAAGAAGACAATCAAAGGATCTCGAGACACAATTGCACGAAGAAGGAAGATGACATTGCCGATTTGGAGAAACAAGTAAAGAAATTGCAAAACACCATTTCTGATGTCAACGCACAGAATGAAGACACTGGCGCTGTTTTGAATGATACTAAAGACGATACTGAGAAGAAACTCGACCAACAAGTGTGTTTGGGGGAGATGTCTTCTGTAGACTCTTTTAAAAAAGTTGTTAAGCAGTTTGGTGGGAATTAAAATACGTTGCTCTTTTCTTGTATGACAGACAAGTTTGGCGAATTTGTGAAAGAGAAG